CCCGAGCCGCGGCCGCCGCCGCCGGCAGCAGCGGCAGCAGCGGCAACAGCCCCAGCCTCAAGGCCAGGTAGGGAGGGTGGGCGGCGGGGTCCTGGTGGGCCAGGAAAGGCCGGGGATGCATTTGGGGCCTTCGTCCCTGGGCAGCACCACCCAGGGGTCCGGATCGGGCTGGGAGCCCTCTGCTCGTCTGCTCGTCTGCTCTCCCTCGTCCGCGCCGGGAGAGGCGGCCGATGACTTCTGTAGGGTGGTCTCGGGGTAGGTGGGGGCGCCCGGGGCAGGATTCGCGCCTGGGACTGGTCGTGGACGTGGGTCTAGGCGGGAGTCGTGGGTCTCCGTCACCTCCCGGGTCCTGGGCTCTCACAGGGTGAAGTTTGGGTTCGTGGCTGAACTTGGCGATCACGGAGACCCGAGACCGTCTCTGAGGGGGCTTAGGGGGGCTCTGAGGAGTTCGGGGCAGTGACATTCCATTGTATTGGAACCGACAATGTGGTCTTGGGGGCCCCGGCAATGTGAGGGTGGGGGAGGCGGGAGAGGAAGAGGCGCCAAGCCTGACGCGTCCCTGACGTTGGGGGACCCGGGAAGACTGGGCTGCGGGAGGACCCCCGGGGCGTGGAGCCCCGGGAGGGGTCCTGGTGGCGCGGGAACGCTGCGCCGGGCTGGGTGACATATGTTTGCAGTGGTGGCCAAGATTAAGCTATTTCTCTTCCACGCGTTCAAAGTTACTCTTTGGTTTCCTCTCCTTTCAACAACAGCAGGAAGTAAGGGATCTCTCTTTGCCTTCTGTGCTTTGGGGTGACTGAAAGTTGGGAAGAAATTGGAGAGGGGCGTCAGTGAAGGCCATAAAGGCTGGAGAACAGAAGCATAAGCGTGCTTCTCCATCTCGGCTTCTGAAGTCCTGGTTCGTTATGTAGCGCGGGGTTCAAGAGTTCATCTTTGCCCCTGCGTGACCAAGGGAATCTAAAATGTTGACTCTTACTAGATATTTAGGCTCGCGGAAAATGTGTAGTAGTGCCACACCGTGAAACGGTCATTTGAATGGTAACTGGAAGGCGTGGTCTGGTTTGGCTGATTCGGGAGCGGGGTGTTTTAAAGCCACCTCTGCCGAACAATGCGGAATCTGGTAGGTGCAGTTTCTGATTACAAGGACCAGGGAGGGAATCCTGGGTTGCTAATGACTTCATCCTCAACTACCAACAGGAAGCTTCGTGGCTTTATGATCTCATCAGATTTTTTCATTATTGTCACGACAGAAGTGAACTTTTTTTTCCCACTTTGTATATTACAGTGTTCTCTAGGTTATTTTCTTTGTTTTTATGAAAGTTCTACATTCACTATTTGGAAAATAGTGCGAAGAATAGCTGGTCTTTGTCTTAGTAGTACCTTGGGATGATTGTGAGAGAATGAGAAAAATTTGGTTTGAGAAAAGGGAAATAAGCTTCCTTAGAAAATTTTAGGCCCTTTGTTTAAAAGACCCGGATTAAAAAAATAATAATAATGTGATGTGTCACTTTGGAGCTAAATACCTAAATGTTGAAACCTTTCAGAAAGTCATTACTGTATCATATACAATGAAGACATTTTAAGTTTTATGAAAGATTTTTAGCACGTTTCACATTATTATTATTATTATTATTATTATTATTTTGGCGATTTGACTATCATTTTTCAAATAGCTTTTGCCGTTGAAAATGATAATTTACAAATTAAAATTACTTTTTGTTCAGTGAACAGCAGTGATAGTTATTTGTGCATAATTTTTTGTTTTAAATGAAAACAATGTTTTATTAGGTATATGCAACAAATGCTACCTAGTTATTTCTGTTGTTTCTTTTAGCAGAATACTTCTGAGGCAAGACTCTAAAATCTACTTGTCATATTTTCCAAATGTTATTTATCAAAGTAACAAAGAATGACTTCCCAAACACATTTGAAAACAGTAAGTAGATTCATTTGGAACAGATAATCTAAAAGAGATTTATTTTCTGTTTATTGGAAGTTATTGATTTTTAAATGCTAAGCCCCCACCCCTAAAATATATTTTGGGGGTGGAGTCAGCTAAATTATACCATAGAAAATGCAGGCTTTCCCCCTCCCCCACCAACTTGCTTTGTTAACATCTTGTGTGAGGATCAGGCCATCTGTACAGGGTTACACACACTTCTTAATTGTACCTCATTTTATTCCTTAAACTGTGCAATGTCTTCTTTCATCACTTATATAGAAAATACTGAGTCTGAAATATGCCCCGTAAGTCTTTCGGTATTCTGTGTTTTCAGAAGCTTATTCATATTTTTATAACATTTTAAAGAGCTTTTTCATAATTCATGTATCAGTTGAATGTTTTTGTTCCCCTTTGTGGCAGTTTCTTCTGGAAGGTGCAAATGAGTACTAGTTGTAATGATGTAATATGGATACTTATCCATAAAGAATTAGCCTGTCTGTCACCTTGTTTTCAGTAACCTATTCAGAAGCTAACAGATGGTAATAACATTCAGTTGTTACTGGCTTGAGATCTAGCCTCCTATTTTCTGTTTGCTTGGTCCTGAAATGGAGCATTTTCATCAGTTGTTGGGGGAAAAGCATGGTAAACAATTTTTCATGAGTTCGAAATAATACTTTTTTAATATAACAGCGCCATCAGATAAAAGGTATTTCTGTTGTTTTTAACCATTGAGCAATAAAGAGCTAATGGGAAAGGAAACCCCAGCATTTTACCTTTAATAGGGTATATAGAGAGCTTTCTGAATATTTTTAAAATAATACTTGCCGGGCACATCATAAGTGCAGGGATAAAAACTGGTCATATAAATCTCCATTTATTTGTTCTTTTCTCAGTTTTAGGGACCAAATCTTTGCCTCTCACCATGGAGTTGAGATACTTTTGTAGGGTTGTTGTAGACAGTATATATACCTTTGCATGCTTCTGTAAATCAGATGACCATCGGGAAGCTGCAGACCGGCTGCCTTTTCTCTACTTCATATTTATATCTTTTATAGAACAGGAAGAGAGAAGTGATTTCATCGTGGTTATGATAGTTGTGTTTATGTTTGACCATGCACCAGATTGTGATTAAATGGAAATATTTTGTTTTAAAATATATTTATATTTGTGTTTGCCTTTCTAACTTGAAATAATTTTTTTTTTTGCCACCAGTTTTTAGAATTTCCTAATATAAAAGTTTTTTCTGATTATAGTATGACCGTGTAATGAGTGTGATACGTACTCCTTCAAAAAACAATGATTAGCTTCTCTAGAAAAGGTCTGCTACTATATTAAGGAATTTTTGAATAAGTTTTACAGCTAGAGTTCCCCTTAAGGCTTTTGGAAAAAAAAACCTTTTAAGATCATAATTTATGAGGAATAGGGACGATCCCAAATTAGTGAAATGTTATTTTAAACAAACTTCTGTTGTTCAGAAAGTACTTTCCCTTAGAAGCAATGTTGTAAGTAATAGTAGCTATCACTTACTAGGCAACTAATGTGTGCTAGCCACTGTTTTAAGTGATATATGCACACGTACACATGCACACTGTTTAATCTTCACAGCAATCCTTTGAGGTAGGTTTATTTTTACATTTTATGAATGAGGAAACCAAGGCATAGAGACATTAAGTAATATTACAGCCACATAGTAAGTAGTGGAACTGAGATTTAACCCTGGGCATTATGGATCTGGAGCCTGCATGTTTAATTACTGTACTGTAGTACTTCATGGTAAGATAGTCTAATGCTGTAATCTACCTATATTATGGGTTAAATGAGCTTCTGTAGCTGGCCTGGAAACCTAACCATTATTAATATATTTATTTCAGTGTTCTTTGTTATCACTCACCATTTTTTTCCTAATTGAAACATGCTTCCTTTTGCTTCATAGCACTGTACTTTGCTGGATTTCCTCCTACCTCTCTGGCCCACTACTTTCCCTTATTCTTCATTAGTTCTTACTCTTCTAATCTCTACATGTCGTTGTTTCCCCAGGGCTTTGGACTGATATGATTTCTTGTCCATTATGTGCTTTCTCCTGAGAACATCACATCATGCCCATGGCTTTAGATATCATCTCTGGAGATGTCCGTATATGTGGCTAAAGCCCAAACCCTCCTAATCGTATATCCAGCTACCTCTCTGAGCTTTTCCTTGGGTATATAATGGGCATTTAGTGATGAGTTCATGCTTTCCCCACTCATTCCACCTCTGTCTAATGAGGCCCATCTCAGTCACACCTCTATTCACCTGGTTGCTCAGGCCAGACCTTGGGAGTTGTGTGTGCTCAATCTCCAAGCCCTACTGTTTTATCTCTTAAATATACCTTGAAATTGCCTACATTTTTTGTTTCCGCTGCTCCACTCTGATTCAAGCCACTATTATTTTTCATTTGGATAACTGAAGTAGCCTCCTAAGTCATCTTGAACCCTTTCCTTTCTTCAATTCATTCTCCTCATGGCTTCCAAGGTGATTAACAAAATAAATAAATAAACCTAACAGTGTGATATTTTGTTCCTTTGCTTAAAACTTTTCCATTGCTACTCCTATATCTTAGAGTCAAGTTTTTTAAAATCTGTAATATGCTGTATGTGGCCCTGCATTTACTGGCCCATTTTAAATTTCTTGGTTCATCCTAAATTCTTTCCTACTCTAAAATCTTCATGCTGTTACCTCCACCTAGATAACTCTTTCAACACATCCCAAACTGACATCTTAAGGTACCTCATGTTAGAAACGTACTGCATTCCAACCCCTGCCCCCTGTTATTTTGTGCAATGGTATGTGTTGACAGTACATTTTACTGTATTTTCATATAACAGTTAGAAATATAATTACATATCTATGTGCTGCTTATGTAATAGATATCTGCCTCTTTAGAATGGAAGTTCTTGGAGGGATACTATCTGTTTTATTTACTGTTGTATATTTAGTACTTAACTATAGTGCCTGGCATATTGTTGGGACTTAATGCACTATTTATGACATGAAAGCAAAAACTGCCTTAGTGTGGGAATTGGAATCCCTTTTCTTCCTGCTCCACCTCTAGTGCCATTCCCTGTCTACCTGCTCTACCCTGTATTAGGGAGCAAGATGAAGGGTTTAAGGCATTTGCGATTATCATTGCTTAGAAGTGTGGGGATGTATAGGCTGCTGCTTGCTTTCTACCTTTTCTTGCTATACTCTCTGGAACAATGAGTATTAAAATGTGTCTAGCAAAATATAGTCCAAGTTTTTTCTTTCATTTGTTAAACAAATATTTGAGTGCCCACTGTATGTAAGGCACTGTTGCCTTTATCCTTAATTATTATATTTCTGTAGTGAAAACTTGAGAAATCAAATGGCAAGCCTTCATTGACTCAGTAAAATGTACTGAGCATTTCTGAATTTCTGTTGCTAAGCTAAGTTCTCCACAAAAATGTCCTGCTTCTCAAAGAACTTGTGATCCGGAAGGGTGACAGGGTAACTTGCTGCTTCTCTGCTTGGCTTCTAAATGTTGACATGCCCAGGAGCTTGGAATTTCATCCTTTTATCTTCTCCACTCATCCTTAGTGAAGTTGCCATATATGTCAAATGACTTCCAAATTTATACCTCTAGATTCATATCTGGCTGCCTCTTTATCATCTCCACTTGGATATTGAATAGATATTTCAAACATAGTATGTCCAAAACATGGATATCACTTTAACCCCTAACCTGGTCCTCCTTTAGTCTTCCCACTTCAGTAAATAATACTACCATTTACTTTGTAACTCAGGTCTAAAAGGTTGGAGCAGTCTGTAATTCATTTCTTTCCTCTCATATCCACTCCTTTAGTAAATCTTGTTTGTTTGATCTCCATATCCATAATTTCCCATATGGACTGTTACACTTGCTTTCTATTGCTTTCCTTGCTTCCACCTTAGCCCTTATAGAGTTTATTAAGCATGCAACAGCCACAGTTAACATTTCAAAATATAAATCGGGTAATGTCATTACCCTGCTTAAAATCTGCTTACTCAAGAGGAAAATCCAAAGTCTCTCTCATGGCCTACATGATCTGAGCCTCAGCTAATTCTGAGCCTCAGCCTTTCTCCAACCTCATCATTCCACTCCCACCACCGCCCTTTAGTTACATTGGCCTAATTTCTCTTCCTAAAACATGCTAAGATTACGTATGTTTTAGGAATTTTTCACTGGCTGTTGTATTTATCTAGAGTTCTCTTTACAGGTCATTGCTGCTGCATTTGGACATTCAGGTCTTCCAGATATACCTCTTCAAAAAGGCCTTCTCTGACTGCCCTATCTAAAGTAACTGATTATTATATCACAGTTTTTCTTGATAGCATTATTACTCTCTGAGGTAACTTCATAAATTTGTATGTATCATTTATTGCTACCCTTTTCCCAGACCTCTGACCGCCACAAATAGAATGCATGTTCCATGAGAACAGGGATCTTGTCTGTTTCACTCGCATCTGTAGAAGGCAGTTTACAGTAATGTTTGATAGTATAAGCCCTGAAGTCTGAGGTGTTTTTTTTTTACATTTTGACTCTACTACTTGGAATACGATCTTAAAGAAGTTTCTTAATCTCTCTGCCTCATGTTCCTTGTGTAAAGTGAGGATGCTGTTTAGAGTTCTTGAGGATTAAATGAGAACTCAGAAGTGGTGAGAATGGTGTCCAGCATATAGAATAATATATAGAATAGCATGTAATAATATGTAGAATAGCATGTAAAATATTAGCTTTATTATCAACACTTAGAATAATATCTAGCACATTGTTATGTGCCCATTAAACCATCAGTGGATGAGTAAAATATACTATTAAGCAGAATATTTGTTTAAGGTATAAAAATGCTTTGGGACTTAGAGGGGAAATTATATTAGGTTCAAAGGGATTGTGGAAATGTTTGTCAGTTATATTGCATACAAACATAATTATTGTTAATGTTGCATAAATGGAATAA